CTGTTTCCTTGGCTCTACATCTTCTTTCTGTGTTAGCCCCTTTGCACACATCACTCCTTCCCCTCTTTCCTGTTATAGCCACAGAAAACTGTCCCCTAGAGGAGAAATCCTCTCTTAGGGATCTTTCTCAGCAAGTTTGTCTGGGCCTCATTAAGTCTTTTTAAAGCAGGGCAGTACGTGGGGGGACTTTTAAGGATCTGGTTCCAGGCTTTGGTCCTGGGAAAGGAACTTCAATTCCCTGCTGGTCTCTTGCCTCCTGCCGGGTCTCTCCTCCCCTCCCTTCTCTACCACTGGAGTGAAGCTTCCACAAGCCAAGTAGGCTGTAGTTATTTATCACAAGTGCTTACCCCAAATTCCTCAGGCTGTCCTACAATCTTTAAGTTCAGTCATACTTTTAAGATATCAATGCATATATACAATGCTATATTCCTTCGCTGCCTCCCTCCTCTCCTTCTTTTCTCTTACTTTCTTCATTTTTGAGACAGGGCCTTGCTCTGTCACCCAGGCTGGAGTGCAGTGGCATGATTGTGGCTCACTGTAGCAGCCTCAAACAGGCCTCCTACTGCAGCTTCCCAAGTAGCTTGGAGTACAGGTGCACATTACCAAGCCTGGCTAATTTCTTTACTTTGTAGAGATGGAGTCTTGCTAAGTTGCCCAACTGGTCTCAAACTCCTAGCCTCAAGTGATCCTTCATCCTCGGAATCCCATATATATATGTATGAAAGACCCTGGGTTCTTTTTCTAAACCTGTGTCTCTCCTGTTTTGACACCACTCTAACTTAAAACAATTCCTTTTGTTGTTGTTGTTGTTTTTTTTTTTTTTTTTTTTGAGACGGAGTCTCACCCTATCACCCAGGTTGGAGTGCAGTGGTGCAATCTCTGCTTGCTGCAATCTCCACCTCCCGGGTTCAAGTGTTTCTCCTGCCTCAGCCTCCTGAGTAGCTGGGATTACAGGTGTCTGCCACCATGCCCCACTAATTTTTAAATATTTTTAGTAGAGATGGGGTTTCGCTATGTTGGCCAGGCTGGTCTGGAACACCTGACCTCAAGTGATCCACCCACCTCAGCCTCCCAAAGTATTGGGATTACAGGCGCAAGCCACTGTGCCTGGCCCTGAGTTTGCTTGCTTGCTTGCTTGCTTGCTTGCTTCCTTCCTTCCTTCCTTCCTTCCTTCCTTCCTTCTTCTCCTTCTTTTCTCTTACTTTCTTCATTTTTGAGACAGGGCCTTGCTCTGTCACCCAGGCTGGAGTGCAGTGGCATGATTGTGGCTCACTGTAGCAGCCTCAAACAGGCCTCCTACTGCAGCTTCCCAAGTAGCTTGGAGTACAGGTGCACATTACCAAGCCTGGCTAATTTCTTTACTTTGTAGAGATGGAGTCTTGCTAAGTTGCCCAACTGGTCTCAAACTCCTAGCCTCAAGTGATCCTTCATCCTCGGAATCCCATATATATATGTATGAAAGACCCTGGGTTCTTTTTCTAAACCTGTGTCTCTCCTGTTTTGACACCACTCTAACTTAAAACAATTCCTTTTGTTGTTGTTGTTGTTGTTTTTTTTTTTTTTTTTTTTTTTTGAGACGGAGTCTCACCCTATCACCCAGGTTGGAGTGCAGTGGTGCAATCTCTGCTTGCTGCAATCTCCACCTCCCGGGTTCAAGTGTTTCTCCTGCCTCAGCCTCCTGAGTAGCTGGGATTACAGGTGTCTGCCACCATGCCCCACTAATTTTTAAATATTTTTAGTAGAGATGGGGTTTCGCTATGTTGGCCAGGCTGGTCTCGATCTCCTGACCTCGTGATCCGCCCGCCTCGGCCTCCCAAAGTGCTGGGATTACAGGCTGGAGCCACCGTGCCTGGCCTTCCTTCCTTCTTTTCTTTCTTTCCTTCTTTCTTTCTTTTGTTTCTTTGTTTCTTTCTTTCTTTTGAGAAGGAGTCTCGCTCTGTTGCCCAGGCTGGAGTGCAGTGGCCTGATCTCAGCTCACTGCAAGCTCTGCCTCCCGGGTTCACGCGATTCTCCTGCCTCAGCCTCCCGAGTAGCTGGGATTACAGGCGCCTGCCACCGTGCCCGGCTAGTTTTTTGTATTTTTTAGTAGAGACGGGGTTTCACCGTGTCAGCCAGGATGGTCTCGATCTCCTGACCTCGTGATCCGCCCGTCTCGGCCTCCCAAAGTGCTGGGATTACAGGCTGGAGCCACCGTGCCTGGCCTTCCTTCCTTCTTTTCTTTCTTTCCTTCTTTCTTTCTTTTGTTTCTTTGTTTCTTTCTTTCTTTTGAGAAGGAGTCTCGCTCTGTTGCCCAGGCTGAAGTGCAGTGGCATAATCTCAGCTCACTGCAACCTCTGCCTCCCAGGTTCAAGCGATTCTCCCGCCTCAGCCTCACAAGTAACTGGGATTACAGGCGCCTGCCACCATGCCCGGCTAATTTTTGTGTTTTTAGTAGAGATGGGGTTTCACCATGTTGACCAGGCTGAGTCTCGAACTCCTGACCTCGTGATCCGCCTGCCTTAGCCTCCCAAAGTGCTGGGATTACAGGCGTGAGCCACCGCACCTGGCCCCCTCTTTTTTTTCCTGATTATATCTTATGTGGAGGATTTTACCCAAAAGTTCAGGGAGTCAAAACACTGGTGTGGTCTTACTTATTTATTGCCCAACATATCCCAGCTAGAAATGGAGGATAGAGACAAGAAGCAGGTATGAAGGCCAGTTGAGCTGTGTGATGTGGTGGATTTTTTCTGATTGCAATCATGCTTTACCTCTGTATTTGTCAGCTGTCTAGCAGAGTGGTTCAGTGCCCAGGCACTGGTGTCAAACAGTCCTGGGTTTGAATCCCAGCTCTGCCTCACTCATAAATGTGTGACCTAGGCCAATTAGACTAAATCCAAGTTTTCCCTTCCATATAATAGGGGTGCTCTTTTTCCTTGCTCTGTCACCAAGGCTGGAGTGCAATGGTGCAATTACAGCTCACTGCAGTCTGGACCTCCAGTGCTCAAGCGATCCTCCCACCTCAGTTGTGATTACAGGTGTGAGCCACTGTGCCCAGCTGGGGGTGCTCTTAGCTACTCTAGGAGGCTAATGTAAAGATGAGATAACACATGGAAAATACTCTGCTAGCCCTAGCTAAGAGTAAGCAGTCACTAAATGAAAGTGATTATAGCATAGAGTCACAGTTTACCACGTGTTTTCACATTGATTTAATCCTCACACCAGCCCAGTGAAGTAGGTATTATTATGATCCACATTTTACAGATGAGGAAATTAAGGCCTAGAGCAGTAACGTGAGGGGACCAAGGTCGACTTGGAGCTAACACAGGCAGCAGGGATTAGAAACCAGGTCTCCAGAGGCCCAGACCCAGAGCCCCACCTTGCAGCCTTCTTCCCACACACTAGGAGTTCTGGGTTTTTCTGCCAGGCCTCAAAGTGTGGGACTTCAGGCTTTTCTATACTTGACTGCGAACACAACCAGGGATTAATCTCTTAAACTTCCCTCCAGTTTTGAAGTGGGGATCCTGCCCACCCCCTCCCCAAGCCCTAAGCGGAGTCGGCAGCTCTCTCCTCCGGGGGCGGGGCCTGTCACCTTTAGAAGCCACGCCAACGATAAGCCACGCCCACAGACCAAAGCCTCGACCACCTGATGGGAAATCAGCTTCTTCCTCAGCTCCCCAACTAGCAACTCTGCCTGCAAGGTCTCTCGCGGCTCAGCGTCCACCTTTCTGTTTTTTTGACACAGGGTTTCGCTCTGTCACCCAGGCTGGAGTGCAGTGGCGCGATCGCGGCTTACTGCAGCCTCGAGCCTCTGGGCTGTCATCTAGGCCTCCCAAGGTGTTGGGATCACAGGCGTGAGCAACCACGCCTGGCCTGTGTCTACCTCTTAAACTCAAGCCCTGGAGCCCAGACCACCATACGCAGCCCAGTCCTCCGCCATATGCAGCCCAGCCCGATGCCCAGTGCTTCGCACCAGGATACGTGGTTCTGTTTTTTTTTTCATGCGCTCCCACGTCCGGGAGCTACAGTCCCGGCCCTCGATGGACATTCCGAGCGCAGAGCCCACTGCGCGGGCTGATTGGGTTCCGCCCAGGACGCGAAGCCCCGCCCCCCGACGCCCCGCC